TTATTTTTAACATGTCTTAATTATAAATTCAAAAAGAAAAACTATGACGTAACTATTTTTTAAATTTCTTGAATTTTATAATAATTTATGTGTATAAACCTTTTTAATTATTTATTCGTTTTCTAATCACATATTTATGTGAGAATCAGGGTATTGGTTAAAAAGTTCGGGGTTGTTTTTTACTAATGGTGGTAAGTTAAGGGTGTTGAGTTGATTATGTGTTTAAAATGATTTAAAAACCTCCATTGCCTCTTATTATTGTTGTGATTAATATAATGAGATAACTATATGATCTTATGTTATAAACTTTCCTTTTTACAATGTTGAAAATGGAACTGTATTGTTCTTTACGTGGGAGTTTAGAAACTGAGTTTATGTTATTATTAACATAATTTTGTATTTTGATATGTAAATATCAAATGATTGGAATAAGAGTGGCACAATCAGGAAATGTGTATTTTGGATGTAAGGATGGTATAATCAGGAGAAGTGTATTTTGGATATAAGAGTGACATAATTATGAGAGTTGTATTTGGGGATAAGGGTGACATAATCAGGAGAGGTTTATTATGGGATAAGAGTGGCATAATCAACTATATGTGAAAACTGGGTTTTTAATTTGTCGCATCCTTATGATGCGATGACATTGTGTTATTGCACCTGTGTGATGCGATGACTTGGGTTATCGCATCCTTGTGATGCGAGAAGAATGTTAGTCGCATCCTTGTGATGTGACAAATTGACTTATCATATCCTATTGATGCGACAAGTTGGATTTATCGCACCGTGTAATGCGATGAGATAGGGTTCTCGCACCAATGTGTTGCAAGGAACTGGGGTTGTCTCACCCATGTGATGCGAGGAATTTATGATTTTATCTATATGATAGTTATTTGATGCGATAATTGGGTGATGTCTCATCTTATAGATGCGGCAAAAGAGGTTCGTTTTGTTAAAACGATGTTTATTTGTTATTTATATAAATATGGGTTTATAAAAATGTTTTGGTGCTTTTTCATCTTGTAATAACAAACAAACGGATTTCTCACTAGACCTCAAGGTCTAACACTCATTTGTATTTCGAAATGTGCATTACAGGTCAGGCACAATCTGATGGTAAGGGGAAAGGGAAAGTATGAAGAATATATGATTGCTTTTTGGGATAATGTAATATCTTTTATACTTGAATACTTGTTATGTATACAAGTTTTGTAATGGGTTTTTGTGGAAAATTTTGATAGCTACTTTTGTAATATAGCTTTTGTATATATAGTCGGACCAAATATGTAAATTATATTTCATGATATATGAAATGTGTGGTTATATGCAAATGTGATCTTGGGGTGCTACAAGTTTTGGTATCATAGCCTGAATTTAAGAGATTTAGGTATGCCTAGACTTAAACTGTATTATTTGCATACTAAGGATCCCTGACATATGTAGAACCTTTGGAATAATTATGATGGGTTAAGAGGACGATATGTAAGGTAAATTCAAATTACAACTGGCAAATGTAATCATGTGTTTACAGGTACATATTTATTTTTGGATACCTTATTATATTTGAGGAATGTGATTATGTGAATATTAAATTTTGCAAATTGACAGATGGCAAACCAATCAAGAATGTCTGAAAGGATCACCCTCATCAGCCCAGACGAGAGAGAAAATTCATCTGAGAATATTCCTAAAAATCTACCAGTGGGTTGAGGTAGAGGGAGAGACCGGGGCAGGGGATGCGGAAGAGGAAGAAGTAGTCATCCTGAAGTTCATCTAGACCAAGGTGAATCTATTCAGGAAAATGTTTATGAAGAACCAATACAACATCCTGAGTATGTTACTCACGATATGTTAGCTGAAGAAATGAGTAAATTGAGAAATACTTTGCCATCCATTCTGGGAGTTCTAGCCAGAGTGGAAGCAGAAACAGTAGAGATTAACTCACAGATCCAATTTGCTAACACAAGAGGGGGTGTCATTAAGATGTTTTTATAAACCCCCAACTTTTTCTAGAGAAAGAGATCCTGTAAAAGTAATGTGTTGGCTAAAGGAAATAGAAACAATTTTTAATACAAGCAAGTATTCTTACGAAGATAGGGTCAGATTTACCTTAACGATGCTTAAGTCCAATGTTTCATATTGGTGGGATGTTGAATCTTTGGCGGAACCCAATATTTTACAAACTATGTCTTGGATGGAATTTGTTGATCGATTCAAGGAACAATTCTTCCCAAAAGCGGCAGTAAGATAACTAGAAGAGGAATTTTTAAAGTTAGAGTAGGGAAACCAAACTGTTAGGGAGTACACAGAGAAATTCATTGAACACTCCCGTTTTGCTGAACACTACATTTCATCATAATCTCATAAAGTTGAGAAGTATATTTGGGGATTAAAGCCTTCAATACGAGAATTTGTGATTGCGATGAATCCCTCAACATTCTCATTGGCAGTAGACGTGGCAGAAACACCAGAAAGAAATAAGAACCAACGGAGGGAAGAAAAAATAGTTGAGAATAAAAAGTGGAAGGGCTCTTCAGCTGAGTATAGAAGACCAAAGTTTGTGAAAACAGAGAACCCTCCGCTTCAACGATTCAATGAAAGACCATGTTAGAGATGTCATCAAGTCCACCAAAGTGACTGTAATTTTGAACAAAGAAAATGCTATAGATATGGAGAACAGAGGCATTTGTCTAGAAATTGTTGGATGCCTTAATGTTGTTTTCATTGTAATACTCTTGATCACATCAAGCCGAAATGTCCTCAGTTAAAGACTCTGAGATTGACTTTGGGTGGAAATATTTCAAGTACTCGTGGGGGAGTCAATATTAGAAGAGATGAATCTGATAGAGATAGGGCAGGGTATTTCAGATTGTATAATATTTTATGTTAAAAAAGATTTGAAAAACTGAATTTTTATAAGAAAAATCCGGCCAGACTTAGGACCAGAGCTGAATTGGTTATAAAAGTACTTTTCTATTTAAATTTTACTTTTATTAACCATTATTCTAAGGGAAATGCTACTGTCATTCCTTAATAGGAATGTTAAATGCTTTAAAAATTGAATCATCATTAAGTAATATAAAATCTTAAAACCAATCAATTAAATAATATAATATATTTTATTATTATTGTTTTATATATT